CAGTACAGAGGGCCGCCAGATGGAATCGGAATGTCAGCTTTGATTTTTGTGATGAACCCTGGGCCAAGACTGAATGTCTCCCAAACATAAGTTTCATAGAAAGGGAGAAGTGGGCAAATGATCAGGCAAGAGGGTGCAGTTTGGGCACCCTAATGCCTTCCCGCAGTTATGGTGGAGAAGGAAGGCTTGTGGCAGACTTTCCACATGGATGCCATTGATGCCCTTGAACAGGCAGTTAATGCTCCCTAGGCAGACCCACAGCAATCCACAAGGGGAGGGATGATTCAACTCACCATTATATACTCCTCCAGGAAGGATATATTAGCTTTGAGTTGAGGAACAGTAAAGTCTCATCAGGATGATACCAGGGTTCAAAAGAACTACATTATGAAGACAATTTGTGTTGATTTATCATCTATACCACTGAGATTATTTGGTTAGCAAGTAGTCTAATTGAGGCATTTCACAAGATAAAAAAGGGGCTGGTGGGAAATCCAAAATAGTGGGATATAATCTTAAGTTAGTGCCAGGCCATTCTAAAGTCAAGGCAGAGAGCATATTTCCCCCACAAAAAAAGATGGTGGAAATCTGGAACACACACCACCAAAACATGAGGAGTTTTGTCAGAATTTAAATTTCAAGGCAGGTATCAGTAGATTATCGTTACTGGTTACGGTTTGACATCTTGCATATTTCTGGAAGACCTACTCACACGTCTTTTACCTTAAGGCCGAGCGTCCCCATTGTCTCCAGTCTTTCCTCCAAGTGTTGCAGGTCAGCCTGAAGCCATGTCTCTGCATTACTATTACAGCCCAGCTGTTTCACCATTTCTCTGGACCAAAACTGAACCTAGTGCTTGAATTAAGCTGTCCCTTAAACAGAAATTCTTTCAAAGTAGGGCCATACTTTGGGACCTCTGGAGATGTGATACACACTGTGCAAGCACAATTTCTCTTTTTCCTTTCACTGTATAATTTTAACACGGGTCCAATTTACAAAAGCAACTTTTACAAATGCATGTGGCTGAGTATGGGTGGCTCACTGGTTAGCACTACCGCCTCACAGCAATTCCAGCCTTAGGTTACCATGTGGAGTTTGCACATTCTCCCAGTGTCTGTGTTGGGTTCCTTTGGGTGCTCTGGTTTCCTTCCACAATCCAAAGATATGCAGGTTAGGTGGACTGGCCATGATAAATGCAGGGTTACAGAGATGGGCGAGGTAGGTCTGTGTAGTACCCTCCTAGGAGGATCGGTGCAGACTCGATGGGCCAAATGGCCTCTATGTGCACTGTAGGGACTCTGATTCTAATATGGAGTGCCACTCCAATCAACAACAGAAGGAATTCATGCACATCCTCACTGCAGTTTCATATCTATCACAATTAATAGGGGATTGCATGTCCTTTGTTCATTTTTCATTTATTTCTTCAGTCAGCTCCACAGCAACTGAACATTCTGTAGAAAATATGCACTCAAACCTGACACCTATTACTTGACAGCATTGAAGTACTTACACTGATTATTTTTTCTTCCAAAAGAATCATAAATCTGCAGAGGTTTACCCACATTTCTTGTTTTACATGGTTTCTTGACTTGCTAAAAATGTTCCACATTATCTTTCAGATTTCCAACCTCTGCTGTATTTTGCTTGGTGTCTTTCTATAGCACGTTCTCAAAATATCCTCAAATACTTCAATGGCAATAAAGCTTATGATTTAATTAATACAGAATTTCAATAATCACAATTTTATTCATCTTTACTACTCACAAATAGAGGCATAGGGCCAAAAAGAAAACAAATATTCAATAAGGTCAATACCTTAAAAACCAAACAATCATAGCAACTTGCGTTAGACAATTTTAGAATCTGAGGGCGTCTAATCTAGATTTCTAATCCAGGGGGCCTTTTGTGCTGAACGGAACAGAACAGCAGCGCTTCAACGGTGGCTAGACAGCACTGAAAATGTCACCTAGAAGGGGGACAAAATGTTTGCACGAAAACCAGTCAGCTTGGCGAACTAACCAATAACTCCAGCCGCAACCAGAGCTACAGATCTTCACTAAAAATCTGCCATGTTCACCTGGCCTGGCCTACATTCGACTCCAGACCCACAACAATATGGCTAACCTTTTGAAATTTCTGATTAAGGCACTCAGCTCCAGGACAGTTAGGAAAGGGCAACAGAACTGCCCTTGGCTGCGAGAGTATGTTTCAAGATAATATTTTAAAGTATTAATCCTGGACATTTACAATACAATGACTAGGGAACATGTCTCCAGTACAATTGAAATCTGCACCACCCTCTAGTGAGACCCTCCACATCCAGATTTAGTGGTGGGGGTACAGGGAAGACAACACGGAAGTTTAAAATTCCTTTAAATCTAGGCAAAACTGGTAAGATTAGGGAACAATGAATGATTAAAAATAGAGGCTGTAGTCAAGATTAAAAAAGAATCATATTAGATATAGACAACTGGGATCAACTAAATCTCTTCAAGAGTATAAAGTGTAGGGGCATTCTTAAGAGGGAAATCAGGGGGTTGGGAGTGAAGCGAAAACTTACCCTTGGCAGATAAGGTTAAGGATAATACAAAGAGATTCTACAAATACATTAAGAGCAAGACAGCAATCTCAGAAGAGGGGAGAGACATTAAATGAACATTTCACACTAGTTTTTACTGCAGAGAAAGAAAATAAGGGTAGAGAATTCAGGGAAATAAATATTGATATTTTCAAAACAGTACACATTACAGAAGAGGTGGTGCTAGAGGTCTTAGAAAACAAAGATAGATAAATCTCCAGGACTTGATCAAAGGTATCCCAGGATGTTGTGGGAAGTTATGGAGGAAATTATGGGGCCTCTAGCAGAAATATTTGTATCATCTATAAACACGGGTGAAGTACTGAAGGGTGGCTAATGTTGCACCATTCTTAAGAAAGGCTGTAAGGAGAAACTTGGGAACAATAGACCTGTGAGCCTGACATTGGTTTTGGAGGCGATTCTGAAAGAAAGAGTTTACATTTTTTGGTTATCATTTATATAAATGACTTGGATGAGAATATAGGTTAGAAAGTTTGCAGATGACACCAAACTTGATGGTACAGTGGACAGTGATGGTGGTTATCTAAGATTACAAACACATAGAACATAGAACATTACAGCGCAGTACAGGCCCGTCGGCCCTCGATGTTGCGCCGACCTATGAAACCAATCTGAAGCCCATCTAACCTACACTATTCCATTATCATCCATATATGTTTATCCAATGACCATTTAAATGCCCTTAAAGTTGGCGAGTCTACTACTGTTGCAGGCAGGGCATTCCACGCCCTTACTACTCTGAGTAAAGAACCTCCCTCTGACATCTGTCCTATATCTATCACCCCTCAATTTAAAGCTATGTCCCCTCGTGCTAGCCATCATCATCCGAGGAAAAAGGCTCTCACTGTCCACATCTTGATGAATTGGGTCAATGCATTGAGGGGTGACAGTTAGAGTTTAATTTGGATAAATTTGAGGTGCATTTTGGTGATACAAACAAAGACAGGACTTATACAATTAATGGCAAGGCCCTGGCAGTGTCGTAGAACAGAGATCAAGGGGCTCAGGAACATAATTCTTTGAAAATTGCAACACAGCTACAAAGGGTGGTTAAGAAGGCATTTAGCACACTTGCCTTCATTGCTTAGCCCTTTGAGTATAGGAGTTGGGATGTCACGTTGAGGTTGTACAGGACATTGGTTCTGACTGTCCTGTTACAGTAAGGATATTAAGCCAGAGAGGGTTCAGAAAAGATTTACCAGGATGTTGTCAGGAATGGATGGTTTGAGATATAAAAATAGACCGGAGAGGCAGGGACCTTTTTCCACTGGAGCCTAGGAAGTTGAGGGACAACCTTAGAGGATTATAATATCATGACAGGCATAAATAAGGTGAATGACAAGGGTCTTTTCAAAACTAGGGGCCATATTTTTAAGGAGCAAGGAGAAAGATTTAAAAAGGACACGAGGGGCAACATTTTTACACAGAGTTTGGTGTATGGAATAAACTGCCAGAGAAACTGATGGATATAGGTTCAGTTACAACGTTTAAAAGACATTGGATAAGTACATGAAAAGGAAAAAAGTTTGGAGACATATAGGCCGGATGCAGCAGGTCGGAGTAGTTTAGTTTGGAAACATGGTCTGCATGGACTAGTTGGACTGAAGGGTCAGTTTCCATGCTGTTATGACTGTCATGATAACCTGGGATTTGTGTTTCCCACCGGAACAGGATTATATCCAATTTTCTAGGAATGCAGTACTGACGCCATCATTGGCATGCACGAGAGAACAAAATCTAGGAGAAATTCAGACTACGTCCTTAGGACAGGTCGTACATCACCTCTCTATAAATTAAACGCGGTGGAATCAATTATTCTTAGAAGGGCCATTAAAGTATTAAAAACCGAAAGAACTGCGGATGCTGTAAATCAGGAACAAAAACAGAAGTTGCTGGGAAAACACTTCTGAGGAAGGTTCACCGGACCCGAAACGTTTAACTCTTTTTTTTCTCCTTCACAGATGCTGCTGAGCTTTTCCCGAAACGTTTAACTTTTTTTCTCCTTCACAGATGCTGCTGAGCTTTTCCAGCAACTTCTGTTTTTGTTCCATTAAAGTAACAATTGGTCCAAAAAATCCAGTTAATACATGAACACACATCTGAATTATCAGTGAAAACACCAGCCAAACTTCAGGGTTTTTCAAGCGTGTTGAACAAAAAGGGGTTCGCTCAACTAAACTGTGGGAATACCCACGTTGACTAAACAAAAGCAGTTGAGGGGAGCGCTCAGTTGTGGGGGAGAGCGAAGGTTACAAAGCGATCCGCTCACGGTGCAATGTTCAGGTCTACGAAAGAAAACTTATGTTGTGGGTATTGCTTTTCTAGTTACAGTCGGCTTAAAGCGAGTACACTTTTTGTCCCCACCGGGGGTGGGGGAAGTAGAGGTGAAGTTACTTACATAAATGTGATCATGCCGGAATCTGGTGCTCAGCACCTCCAGGAGAACGCTCTCATCCAGCTGCGAGAGCGTGGCCAGATCCTCGGGCATACTGCCGCAAATAGCCATGTGGGGTGGGGGGTGGCTCAGTCACTCAGGAACCGTGCTGGCTGTACTCTTGTGCTCACAGATACTGCTCATTCCTCCCGAGCTTCTCCTCCAACCTTCAGCAAAGTTCCTCCCACACAAGGCACATCCACCCCCCAAACCTCCCTCCCTCCCTCTCTCTCTCTCTCTCTCTGCCACTCCTGAAGGAAATCTCTCCTTGACCAAAATGCTGCCCTCAACGGCAGTCGTGTCGCGAAAGGCGAGCTACTCGCCCCCCGTATTTAAAATGTTGAATTAATTGTTATATTTCACAATCCTTTTATAAAGCTACATTTCACGAGAAAAGCAACACCGCTGGTGGAAATGTGAAGGGAACGCGAAGGAGCTCCCCTGCGCCCCCTAACGGAGCTCCACGAGGAGCCGCTGGCTGAACACAGGCAAACACCGAAAAAAAAACTCAACTTATCATCGCCACTCTTTTGCCTGACATCTTCTCAGGTTATTCTCAGGGTCTGGTCAAGTTCTAGGTTTGTGTGTATCTCTCTGTTACTTTCTTCATTCCCGAGTTTTTGTTGTTCGGGGAGGGATGTTAGAACTGCCTGAATTTTTATGTTTTTTTCCCCTGCAAACCTAAAGGCCAGGTGTGGTTCTAAAAGGAGAGCAGATGGGAATGAGAAACCCCGCGTTAGTGATCTGCAATTCCAATACGGAATGCCGCTGGTGAACGACAATGACCGAAAGGCTTCAGATGGAAATCAACTATTCATAGAGAAGTTCTAGCCCAGAGCACTTTCACCCACTTTCTAATCTTCAAAGTGCAGAGCCTGGGGTGGGTGGGGGCTCCTGGACAATAAAGGAAGCTGTTTGAGAGAGAATAATGGTGAAGAAAGAACTATTTCTTGAAACGGTGTTCTCCTTTGCTTATCTGGTCAGCGTTGTGAGGTAAAGTTGCAACATAAGTTTTCTTTTACCTTAATTTTGGCCTTTAGTTATCTGACGTAATTTATGTAAATTAACATGATTGGAGATCAAATTATAAATTATATCATTTGAAGTCCATGACATTTACACGTGGTAGTTGACAATGGTTGGATTAGATTAGTTACTATTAAGATGCATAATTACTAACTTGTGGTCTTATTTTAAACAGTTGGAGATTAGCCATCAAATATAATTATGAAATATTATTACTTTTATATTAAGCAATGGATTAATACTAGTTGCTGAGTATTCATATTTATTTACTGTTTTTTAAGTTTGCCAAAATGAAAATTTTGAACCCAGTCAGTAATTGTTAGCAATAAAAAATAGACTCTCTACCCAAAATAATAAACCATGTTTCCTCCTTTCAAATGCTGATGGTTTTTAAATTTTGTTTTATGTTTCAATGTTTGACAGTCTGAGGAAAGATTCCCCAAGGCAAAAGTTTGTTTTGACTTACACAAGAAACTCTGCAATAACCTGTCAATCAACTCAGGAAACCATTATTTACTGTTTGAAATGTCTTCTGCAATTGTCAAAGAGGACCACTTCAACAGACTTATTCATGGTTGATTTTTGATTTGAATTACAAATGGCCCACATGTGACCTGTAGTCTTTGACAGGATTCTAATTGCCCATTCTATACCCACTGAGTAAGACGTGAAAAATGGGAATGTATGGTGTGCATGAATCTCCAAACCTGTGAGTCCTCTGTGCTTCTGCTATGTGTTGAGATCCTGATCCAGTCATATTTTTGAGTGATATGCTGCTGCACTATCAATAGAATTAAGGGAATATTTTGGATAGAACATAGAACATTACAGCGCAGTACAGGCCGTTCGGCCCTCAATGTTGCGCCGACATGTGAAACCAATCTGAAGCCCATCTAACCTAAACTATTCCATTATCATCCATATGTTTATCCAATGACCATTTAAATGCCCTTAAAGTGGGCGAGTCTACTATTTTTGCAGGCAGGGCATTCCACGCCCTTACTACTCTCTGAGTAAAGAACCTACCTCTGACATCTGTCCTATATCTATCACCTCTCAATTTAAAGCTATGTCCCCTCGTGCTAGCCATCACCATCCGAGGAAAAGGGCTCCCACTGTCCACCCTATCTAATCCTCTGATGATCTTGTATGTCTCTATCAAGTCACCTCTTAACCTTCTTCTCTCTAACGAAAACAGCCTCAAGACCCTCAGCCTTTCCTCATAAGACCTTCCCTCCATACCAGGCAACATCCTGGTAAATCTCCTCTGCACCCTTTCCAATGCTTCCACATCCTTCCTATAATGCGGTGACCAGAACTGTACGCAATACTCCAAGTGCGGCCGCACCAGAGTTTTGTACAGCTGCAACATGACCTCACGGCTCCGAAACTCAATCCCTCTACCAATAAAACCTAACATACTGTACGCCTTCTTAACAACGCTATCAACCTGGGTGGCAACTTTCAGTGATCTATGCACATGGACACCGAGATCTTTCTGCTCATCCACACTACCAAGAATCTTACCATTAGCCCAGTACTCTGTATTCCTGTTACTCCTTCCAAAGTGAATCACCTCACACTTTTCCGCATTAAACTCCATTTGCCACCTCTCAGCCCAGCTCTGCAGCTTATCTATGTCCCTCTGTAACCTGCAACATCCTTCCGCACTATCCACAACTCCACCAACTTTGGTGTCATCTGCAAATTGACTAACCCATCCTTCTACGCCCTCATCCAGGTCATTTATAAAAATGACAAACAGCAGTGGCCCCAAAACAGATCCTTGAGGTACACCACTAGTAACTGAACTCCAGGATGAACATTTCCCATCAACCACCACCCTCTGTCTTCTTACAGCTCGCCAATTTCTGATCCAAACCGCTAAATCACCCTCAATCCCATGCCTCCGTATTTTCTGCAATAGCCTACCATGGGGAACCTTATCAAACGCTTTACTGAAATCCAAATACACCACATCAACGGCTTTACCCTCATCCACCTGTTTGGTCACCTTCTCGAAGAACTCAATAAGGTTTGTGAGGCACGACCTACCCTTCACAAAACCGTGTTGACTATCCCTAATCAAATTATTCCTTTCTAGATGATTATAAATCCTATCTCTTATAATCCTTTCCAACACTTTACCCACAACCGAAGTAAGGATAAGAGTAGGATTTCTGCTCCTTGAACCTGTTCCACCATTCAGTTAGTTCATTATAGATCTCTATTTTCACTCCATTTAGTTCCATGTATCAAAATCGTGGACTGCAGCAGTTCAAAAAGGCAGCTCACCATCACCTTCTTATGTGCAACTAAGGATAGGCAATGAATGTTGGCCCAAGCAGCAACACCCACATCCCACAAGTAAATAACAAAAATATTATAACCTTTTTATTCATTCCTGGGATGTCAGTGTTGCTGGCTGGCCAGCATTTAGTCCCCATCCCTAGTTTTTTTCCATCTTCATAGAATCCCTACAGTGTGGAAACAGGCCCTTCGGCCCAACAAGTCCACACCAACCCTCAAAGCATCCCACCCAGATCTGTCCCCCTATAATCCACCTAATCTACACATCCCTGGACATTATGGGGCAATTTAGCATGGCCAATCTACTTAGCCTGCACATCTTTGGACTGTGGGAGGAAACCCACACAGACACGGGGAGAACATGCAAACTCCACACAGACAGTCACCTGAGGGTGGAATTGAACCTGGGTCCCTGGCGCTGTGAGGCAGCACTGCTAACCACTGTGCCACTGTTAGTTGCCCTTGAGAAGGTGGTGGTGAGCTGCCTTCTTGAACCACTGCAGTTTATGTTGCTGTAAGTTCACCCACAGAGCCCCTAGAGTTGAAGTTCCAGAATTTTGACCCCGCGTCAGCAAAGGAACAGCAATATATTTCCAAATCAGGATGGTGAGTAGCTTGGAGGGGAACTTTCAGATGATGGTGATCCCGTGTATCTGCTGCTCCTATCCTTTTAGTGGAAATGGTTGTGGGTTTCAAAGGTGCTGTCTGAGGATCTTTGGTGAATTTCTGCAGTGCATCTTGTAGATAGTACACACTGCTGATACTGAGTATCGGGGGTGGAGGGAGTGGATGCTTGTGGATGTAGTGCAATCAAATGGGCTGCTTTGTCCTGGATGGTGTCAAGCTTCGTGAGTGTTGTTGGGGCTGCACTCATCCAGGCAAGTGGGGAGTATTCCATCACACTCCTGACTTGTGCCTTGTAGAAGGTGGACAGGCTTTGGGGAGTCAGGGGGTGAGTTAGTTGCCACAGTATTCCTAGTCTCTGATTTGCTCTTGTAGCCAATGTGTTTATGTGGTGAGTCCAGTTAAGTTTCTGATCAATAGTAACCACAAGGATGTTGATAGTGAGGACTCCATGATGGTAACAACATTGAATGTCAAAGGGCAATGGGTAGGTTGTCTCATATTGGAGATAGTCATTTCCTGGCATTTTTGTGACACAAATGTTACTTGCCACCTGTCAGCCAAAGCCTAGATATTGTCCAGATCTTGATGCATTTCAACATGGACTGTTCCAGTATCTGATGAATTGCAAATTGTGCTGAACATTGTGCAATCATCCCCACTTCTGACCTTATGATGGAGGGAAGGTCATTGATGAAGCAGCTGAAGATGGTTGGGCCTAGGACACTACCCTGAGGAACTCCTGCAGAGATGTCCTGGAGCTGAGATGACAGACCTCAAACAAACACAACCATCTTCCTATGCGCCAAAACAACTTAAACCAGTGAGAGATTTCCTCCGATTCCCACTGATTCTAATTTTTCTAGGGTGCCCTGATGCCACACTCGGTCGAATGCAGCCTTGATGTCAAGGTCTGTCACTCTCACCTCACCTCTGGAGTTCAACTTTTTTGTCCATGTTCAAATCAAGGTTGTAATGAGGTCTGGAGCTGAGTGGCCGTGGCAGAACCCAAACTGGGTATCACTGAGCAGGTTATTGCTGAGCAAGAGCTGCTTGATAGCACTGTTGATGATCAAGGGTATGCTGTTAGCGTGTAATTGGCTGGGTTGGATTTGTCCTGCTTTTTGTGTGTTGTACATACCTGGGCAGTTTCCTACATTGTCGTGTATATGCCAGTCTTATAACTATACAGAAACAGCTTGGCTAGGGGAGCAGTAAATTTTGGAGCACAAGTCTGCAATACCATTGCCAGGATGTTGTCAGGGCCCAAGCCTTTGTAGTATCCAGTGCCTCCAACCATTTCTTGATGTCACATGGAGTAAGTTGATTTGGCTGAAAACTGGCATCTGTGATGCTAGTAACCACTGGAGGAAGCTGAGATGGCTCATTCACTTGACACTTCTGGCTGAAGATTGTGGTGAATGTTTTAGC